ATACAATTTTTTGGTAATGTTGGTCTAATTCGTTAATAAGAATCTGTCTATACATCTTTTCTACATCCGCTACATAACCTATTTTAAACTGTCTCCATTTTATTAGAATGTTCAAGATGTCATGTTGTAGATTTGGTCCACTGTACATTAAGTCATTGACACTATAGCCAGTGGACGATTTTGCTGATCCGTTGAATACGACTCGGATTGCAGTTGTCGTAGACTCGGGGCGAATAATACAATGATGAGGCAAAAAGTACTCATCGGCTTTGTTAATAAGGCTCTTTTTCATGTGGCCAAGATGTAAATATTCATTCATGAACTATTTATAATCAGTTGCTATTTGGTTATTTCGAAATAACTTCGAAAATTCGAAATTTATTTTCTAAGTGGTGAAATTGCGCAATAACTTTTAATTTAGATTCGCCTAATTTTTCCCTTACATCTGGTTTCATTGGTAATCTAACGACGTAACGGCCATCTGGTTGACGTTGAGTTTCTGCTTGGTACTGCTCAATACAATATAAATCTTCTGTAGAATGGTTCTCTGGTTCGGATGTCAAATCTTCAATCTCCCAAAATTTCTTTAAATCGTTGCAATTATTTAAAATGACATTGCAGTAATATGACTTCACATTACCGCATAATATCCAGCCGAACTGAGTCTGTTGGGCCATAGGATGAGATTTGTTTTCCTTAATTATTCCCTCTAAAATAATATCTGCATAAACATCTGCTCCTCTCGACCTATTACTATAGGTCGACAGGACCGCTTTGGTTAAATTCCGGGTCAGCGAGTTGTATGTTTTCGAGACATGGCCAAGATGGTTTGGTAAATGATTGGTTTGGTAATTTTTTAATTAAATTTTTCATAATTAATGCATCTATGTTAATGGTAAAGTTGTTATATAAGGATGAAATGGTTATGGTAATTAATCCTTTGCAACTATTCTCTTTCGCTCCTATCCCGAAGATTACTCCTTTACAGCGTTGATGAGAGATCCCAAGTTGTTGTGCTGCATTTTCGGAAATAAGTGAGGTTTGAGACCCTTGCTCAATTAGGGCTCTCATGGTTTTACAAGTTCCGTCAGCAGATAAGACATTTATTTGAGCTGTTGCTAATAAAATATATATCATCGATTTGTAGTCTTTGGCTATGTGCGACACAAATTTTGTATGGTTAGGCTGCGTAGTGTAGTTCTGGTTGGTAACAGAGCGCGTACTTTCGTAGGTATTATGCAATAATGAATTATGCTTTTGGTTACAATGACGGCACGTTTTCTGCGATGTGCACTCGATTCCATTATGGTTGATTAAGCAATTTTTGCAAATATTGTGTTGAGAAATTAATTTCTTTTTCTCGTGATGGTTAGATTCACGAAATTTTGTACATTGAAATAATAGATGGTTCTCCTTACATGCAACACAGGTTTGGTTTGGTGTTTGGTATGTCTTGTTGGTAGGGTGGTTAATAAGTGGTTTATTCTCAACATATTTATTTTGGTAAACATTCGGTTTTTTATAACTCAAATCTCTTGACTTCTTAACTTGGTTGCCATTGGTAATAGGCTGGTTAAAATGTGGTTGCTGGTTACTGTTTGTTTGGGAATATCTGGTTATCTCGTTTTTACGCCGGGCTGATTCCAAAGCAATGTATTTCCCTTCTAGATAGGATAAGAAGTCCATTAAAGTTGGTAAATCTCTTGGTTCTGGTAACGAGTTAATATAGTCACTATGAGTTTCTGCATCAAGCTTTTGTGAAACGAGGTAAACAATAATAGGGTCCCAGGATGAAATATCTATACCTAGGTTTCTTATTGCATTTAAACATTCGTTGGTGGTGTCGTGAATTTTTTTAATATTGGTTGCGGTTTGTTGTTGCATAATTGGTAAGGACATTAGTATATGCATGTGTGAGTTAAAAATAATTTTTTTGTTATTGTATCTCTGGTTAAGAATATCCCAACAAGTTTGGTAATGGTCGGAACTAATTTGAAGATGCTGAATAAGCTTTTCGGCCTCTCCTCGTTGCTTACTATTCAAGAACTCCATTTTTTGGGCTTGAGATATTGATTTTATTCTTATGGATAGATTCTAAAAATAAATCTATGAAGGAAATCCATTGTTGGTAGTTACCGCTGATAATTGGTATATCCATTTGTGGTGTGGAATTTTCTCTGTGGCAAACATTCCACATTTTGCTGTTTATGGTCTTTTTTATTTCGTAATATTCACTTTCATAGCTGGAATAAAGTTCCTCATACTTTTTATCTTCTAATGTTATGTTACTATCAATTTCCCAGTGGAGAGTATCTATGGCAGCCCAACGTGTTTCTATTGACTTCAAAGCATCTTGGAATTCCCATTTTTCTGATAAGAGATTGAGATTAATATTTGAAATAGTACGAATAAAAGCCTTAAAGTTACTTTGCTGCTTTCGCATCATTTCGTCTATTTTACTTGGTGCGTCGACATCATGGAAAACAAATCTTGGTAGAGTTGGTTTTGGTGTGGTTACTGGTGGGGGTACGCCTAGTGAGGAAGTGCTAGGTTTATCATTATCGTTGTTGGTTAATGAAGAAGGTACTGGTGGTTGTTGAGTTTCTCCAACTCTTGGTAATGGAGATGGAGAAAGGACAATGTTAAAATTGGCCTAAGAACCAACACCAATTTGGCATTTATGACAATTCTTAGTATATTTTTTGCGATAATTATCAGTATTTAGATTGTGACGAACACTTCCAGTTAAGTAAGCTATATTAAAAAGTTAAAAAATAATCTGAGACAATAAATACCATTTTATGTGTATAATCTATGGCAGCGCTGCAAACAAAACACTCTTTCTTCCTAATGCCGGCACTTTACTTGGCTATTCGTATTTGCTATTTAGAAACATGACATCAGTCTGTCCTTTTCATTCCTTATTAAGCATGACAAGGACAAACTTTGTCAAGTGAAGGGCCGGCATCAAACTCGTTACTCTGTGGTTGTGGTGCATGCAGTTTGCATTCGTAGTAATCTGTGGCATTCGTGCATTCCAAAGAGTAGTATAATATACCGGAAAGTGCATTCTCGTTTCGGATTACCTGTTGTGTGTGTTTATATGCTATTGTTTTTCCTTTAATTTAACTATTTCGGCTATCTAATATGCCATCGATGTTACAAAAGAGCAGAGCCCTTATTACCAAGTGCTAGTGAACCTGTGCCACAACATCCTGAGAGGATGATACTGCCAGATTATTCAAGAACACCTGATACACATCCACGCTGCATATTTACACAATATACCTACATGTGATATACAAATAAATACAATAAACAATATGATACAATTATGTGAAAAATAGTCAATAAATAAGAAGCAAAACTACAGTTTTTATTTTATTCATGATTCCTACCTAACCAAGCTTTTCCTAATAGTTATTCTTTGAAATCGCACCGAATAAAATGAGTTAGTTGTAATATTAATTCACTTCATACTGAGTTTATACTAAATTCATAGGTTGATCTATGTTTCATTGAATATTAAACATAACCTCAAAAAAAAATCAGTTTTCCTAATAATTTAAGTTCTCAGAAGTGTCCGTCAATAATCTTTGTTTTTACAGTCATTTACTTACGATTTTGAACCTAGAAAATAATACTTCATGACTGTTGGTTCTTAGGCTAACTATGTATGGACGCTGAACAATGTCCTTTGTGTGATGGTGACAATTTCTCTTCCAAGCTTTTCAATAAATAATTTTGCACATCTTCATGAAATTTTCTGGTCTTGTTGTAGTCATCGTCTTCGAAGTACTGGTTATCTTCGGTTTCGTCACAAATGCTTATCAACTTTTCATGGTTATAAGAAAAATCGGACCAGAAGCTCTTCAAGGTCTGTAAGCGACGTTGAATGCTTTCCCTAGTTTTACGTTCTTTACCTTCTTTTTTAAAGTTAATATACAATTTATTCATATTCCCCATGATCTCCTTTTGGGCAGCAAATAATTCCATCTTGGTACTCATGTTGGTAAGTGTTGAGTATTTAAGGTAAATAAAAAGATCTTACTTGAAAATCTTTTGGTTACAGCTGGTAAATGGTGAAGAATGACAATCCAGTTGCTGGTTGGTTACACTGTCACTCACTGGTTAGTTCGATTCGGAAAAGATATTTCCAAGGGGTGGTTACAAAGAAAGATAGTCACTGACACGTCACGTGCAAAGTTCACAGCGCGGCAGGTCCCACCTTTCCGAAGGTTCGAAGGACCAAATTTGTAGGGTGTAAGTCCCACAAATTAATGTAAAATAAAAAAGAAGAATAAATTTCGTAATATATTAAAACTGGTAAATGGTAATGGTATGAGCACACTCGGTTTGAATGGTGTTCGAATGTGTACTAACTTAAATAAATTATAATTAAAATTATTGCACAAAATAAACTGGGTCAATAAGTAAACTGATGACCGCGCGCTATGATGTGAGTTGAATGCACAGTTTGTTCTTACGTCCGGTAGAAGCGCTGCTTAGTTTTAGTTTAACCGTCAAAGTTCGTGCTTGGGCTTCAGCACGTCGTCGTATAGATATTACAGGCCCATAAGCCATCAAATTTGTTTGACAAACTAAACGTTTCACGTGCTAATTTATTTGTTTGATGCGTTTGACAAACAAATTAGCACTAAGCTTTAAACAATTAAAGGACATTGGGCAAAAATGTATGGACGCTGCACCCACGTCCACCACGGCTTAAACAAAATTTGTTTGAAAGGTATTATAGTCATGATCATCTGTGTCAAAGTGCATCAAATTCCATCCCGGAGGTCTTTAGTTATTTTAAGTTAAATAGATACATGTACTATAACGAACGAACATTAATGAAACAAGGGAATTAATTTAGTTAGTTAGTTCGACCCTACATAGGGGGCTCAGGTATTATGGGATTACATTGTTGGAGGAGCTGGGTGTGTTTTGCCTATTGTCCTTTGTTTCACAAACAATTTAATCTTCAACTTTATACTCACAATCTGCTTGTATATGGAGTACGTCTCCTTCTCGTGCTGTAGCGCGGCGCGGAAGTCACCGAGGCAGGAGAGCGTGCGCGCGAGCAGATGGCGCGCGACGGCCGCCTTCAGCGAACGCGGTCCGTGCACTGCGCACGTCACGTTCAGCGCGCGCTCGGCGAATCGCAAGGAGAGCTCGTACTCTCCCACCGCGTGAAGGATCAACGCGATGTTGCTCTGAAAACAGTACACGTGATCATCACCATACGATCATCATTATAAATAAAAAAATATAAATATTTCTAACACTCACACCAATTAGCATAGCCCCAAAGTAAGCACTATAAGGCTTTTGTTATGGAATACTAGGGTAACGGATAGAATACATATACTGTACATATATAACTATATTTTTTATAGAAATACATATTAAACATACATGACTGGAGTACAAATGATCGTATTCATCACACAAACATCTGGCCCCACCGGGATTTGAACCCGGACCTCTCGAGTCGGTGACACCATGAAACACGCCGTACAAACCACTCGGCCACGTAGGTCGTCAAAATCGCCAATCATTCTCGCCGCTATTGAAAGATAAAGAGAGCCATCGACATGGACACAATTATGAGTCAAAAACTGAATTGCGGAAAGTAGTTCTCCCACCATGAGCGACCAAGTGACGTCATTCACATATTTCTAACAACTATTATAATAAGCATAAAACTAGCTAAGAAAAAATAATGTTAATATTAACCAGGTAAGTAATAGTCAATCAAAAGTCTAAACAACAAGCAATAGCCAAGTAAAATATCAAAGTTAAGTGCAACAAATGCAAATAATTGAACTTACGTCCAGAAGTGCCATTTCCGGGTGGTTTTCACCGCACACGAGCAACGCTAGGTACCGCGCACGATACAATAACTTGAGCGCTGTGCTCACTTGACCATTGGCGAAGCAGTACAACGCCAGATGAGACTGGAAATAACAAAATTATAAAGTTACCACTGTCCATATAAACATTGATGTTGTCACTGATTTTGGTTCCGAAGCACTTTCATAATATCAATATGATAAACGAGTATCCATGTGTCCTCAAACTGTTTTATGAATGCATTGCATCGGCGGTTGAGATTTATTAAAACCACATTAGTTCTTGGTCTAATTATTGCCTGAAATAAAAGTTGAAATTCAATAAAAGTTTACATAGATAAGTTTAGGTTATAAAATACAAGTAAACGTTATGGAACTAGCGATATACCTGTAAAAAAATATGAGAAATGTTTCGTAGAATTGTTAAAAATATTACTGGTACTGTCAATTAAGCGCATAAAATCGAATAATAGCCATATAATGGTGTCGATTCTAGCATGCTTCTCTAAACCTAAACTTAAATTTGACAGCAGTATATCCTTGTCATTCTCGATACAGAACGAAAAGGAGAGACTGATGTTAAATTTAGTTTTAAGTTTAGAGAATCATGTCAGAATTGGCACCAATGCCATATTATAACATAAAGTCGAATCCAGTTAATGTCAAAGTGAATAATCAAAGACGTAGAAAACTGTATGTTAATACTAACATGAATAAATTTTCAGCTACTCACGTATTCAGTGATGGTGTACGGATGGTCGATGCCGTTGACGCGCTCCGACATAAACACGGCCTTCTGCTGATACGCCATCGCGTCCCTATGCTCGCCGGTGACGTAGCAAAGTCGCGCCACCATGCGAAGGCACTGTGCAATCTCTCCGTGCATCGCGCCGTAAACATTGTTCAAAAGGTTCAAAGCTTCGGTGATTAATTCGTGCCCTTCGGACACGGCGCCCGCCTGAATCTTGTTCTGACCCGTTGTGTAGAAGTTGTAAGCATCTGACGCCTAAAACCAATACAAGTTAAATACAAAATCAAGGACCTAAGTATTAGTAACGGCAAACTTCTTGAGCAAAACCAAAGACGAACAAACTTGCGCAGTAGTTTCTGTAAGTAAAATTGCTACTGCGCAGGCTTCCTTGTCTATGGTCATTGCTCAAGAAGTTGCCAGGATGTATAATAGAGTCAAGCTGAAAAAATCGACTCGAAAAAGACGTAATCTTATCGATAATCATGTATTGATAAATAATGGAATGAGTGTAAAACAGATCTACTTTTAATAAACACCAATAGTTTTTTTTTATAATGTATCTAGAAGAAATTTCATATTTATGACTTACCCTGGGATTGATATGTTTGACAACAGGGAAAATATTCATGATATCGGCACTGCTAAAAGTTGCTTTGTTCTTGTTATCAAAATCATATTCACGCAACAACATTTGCAATCCTACTTTCAATGCGAACGACCTATAAAGAAATAAACCATAATTAGTTTACTGTATATACATACATTATATAAAATGAAATGTGTGAATTTTTATAATTTATACCTGAGCAGCGAAATTTTTTGCAGGGCATGTTTTTCTATAACAGACTCCATATTATCAGCGTTAAGTTCATAGCCCCAGTAAGTCTGAAAAAAAAATTGTTTATTTGCCATAATTATAATGAATTAATAAAAAAAAACACTCTTTTTAGAATTTAAATTGGGTAGAAAACAAACAGGTAATAAATAATGAGTTATTTAGAGAAGCATTGGTGTCGATTCTAGCATGATTCTCTAAACCTAAACTTAAATTTGACAGCAGTACCCTTAGCATGAGTTTTACAATTACGAAAACTCGCACTCGTACTAAGGGTACTGATTTTATTGTTTTCGTTTCAATACAAATAAACAGTGTTTAAATTCTATCATTAAACCATTTGCATCTTCTTAAATTTTAAGTATATTTGGTTACTTTTCACCAAAATGGACATAGAAACATAATTTACAATTACGAAAACTATGATAGTTTTCGTGAGCTCAAACTCGTACTAAGGGTACAGTGTATCCTTGTCATTCTCTATACAGAATGAAAAGGAGAGACTGATGTTAATTTTAGTTTTCAGTTTAGAGAATCACGCCAGAATTGGCACCATTATAACACTAAAATAATATAGATACACTTTAAGTAACATTATTCAGAGAATAGATATTGGATGGCGACACGTGTGTATAGTTCCAATGCAGTAGGTACTAGCAGCCAATTTGATTCTTGACCCACCATAAGCTTATTTTGTTACAACCAATGCAAACATCAAGGTATTTTCTGTGACCAATTTTGCCCCTTTCCTGTGACACAATTTAAAAATTAAATTACTTGGAGCTTTTCGCATGTACTGAGGTTTTCCCTATTAGTTTGCCAATGTTTTTTACAATGTCAAGAAATCGAAAGAGTCTCTATTACATTTACGATTTTAGAAGTGATTTCGAAATTTAAACTAATATTCCAATTTTATCTTACAATGAAAATGAAGTTTCCTTATTATTTGAAGGTCCTAAGTGCAATTACGCATTCTCTACAAAGAAAAACCTGTCTGTTTTGACGTTTTTAAGCGAATTATCTGGCAAGTGGGTCAGGGATCAGTTGGTTAGATCGTACTATCAGCCAATTTGTTTCTTCTATAAGCTTATTTCCTCACAACCATGGCAAAACATTTTTAGGTAGATTTTAGCATAAATATACGTATCCCTGGAAACAAACCTGGATTTTCAGAACCATACTATTGGACGTGACAGATTTGCCGGTGACATAATTTTGACGTTACTTTATTTAGTTTTGCCCATAGGCGTGGACATCCGTATTAGTTAACTAAAGTTTTTTTATAGGCTATGTTGTTTCATCGATAGTGAAATAAGATTATAGTTAATGTTACGCCAAATACATTGTGAATGTATCAAATTTTGACAAAACATGTTTATTTATTCTATAGCATTTGACTAAAGTAAAATTTAACTATCGGTGAAACAACGCGGCATTAATGTCAAGAAATAAAGAGTTTCTGCTATATTATGATTTTGAAAGATAATTCGAAATTTAAACAACTATTCGAAAATTATCTAAAATATGATCTATGATACTGCAATGAAAACAAAGGCAAAAAAAATTTCAAAGATCTTTTAGTCACATTAATGAAGTTTCCTCGTTATTGGAAGGTCCGAAGTGCAATCACGCATTTCTAAGAAGAAAACTTGTCTGTTTTGAAATTACTAAGCAAATGATCGGGCAAGCAGGTCAGGAATCTATTTGTTCAATAGTATATACCTCGAGATTGCCCGAAGAGCGCCTTGGGCGTGAGGTTCTGCCAGTCGGAGGCGTGGTGGTGTTGCGGTAAGGGCTGGTGGTGGTGTCTGCCCCACCCCCCTCTTCCCCCACTGTAGGTACATACCTTGAGCTCGCTCTTGATCTGCCCGAAGAGCGCCTTGGGCGTGAGGTTCTGCCAGTCGGAGGCATGGTGGTGTTGCGGTAGGGGCTGGTGGTGGTGCCGGCGCGTGCGTCGGCCCCGCCCCCCGCGCGACCCCGCCCTCCCTCCCGCCGCAACGGGCGCGTCGCCGGCGCTCGCCACCGGTGTCGCCCACGTGCCTAATAGGCAGTTCAGGAAGTGCGCGGCAGCGCCACCGATGCACATCGGCTCGCAACCCTGTGAATACGACATCGTATTAATTAATGCCAAAAGCAACTAATAACCGTAGAATAATAATAATAGAATTAAATTTATTTTACGACTTTGCAAAGGCGCATAATCGATTTTAGCAAACCCGAGTTGAGACTTAGAGGTCTACCTAGCCAGCTTTAACTCTTTTCGCTTTTCAAAGCTAAAGCAGTGCTAATCTAAAAAATGAAAGGGGATCATGTATCTCTTCATGATCTCCTTTCATGCATGTAGCGACAAGAGTTGCCCGCTCGCCCCGCCCCAGTTGGGGGCTGTATAGAGGTCGCCGCTTACCTGCAGGTACGCGGTGTACAGATGCTAGGCGGCGCGCAGCAGCAGCTCGCCGACCGCGATTGCGTGCGGTTAGTGAAGTGCCCCAGGTGGGGCTGTATAGAAGACGCCGCTCACCTGTAGGTATGCGGTGTACAGATGCTTGGCGGCGCGCAGCAGCAACTCGCCGACCGCGATGGCGTGCAGGTAGGCGAGGTGCGCATGCGGTTTTAGAGCGCTCGCCACCCGACCCAGATAGCGCACATTAATCCCGCGCGCGTGCAACGCCTCAGTCAGGCCTGCGCCGTCCATCGGTGCGGACGTGTGCTCCAAGCATTCACGGACCTGCGCACACGCGAGTTTAAATTTTATTGAATAACATAACTACACATGTAAGTTTTTTTTTTCTTGGAAAAGCTAAATTTTTTACAATATATGGCCACAGACTAGTCGCTTTCAGCGAGCGCCGAGCAATTTGTACAAAAATTTTAGAAGCACGCCACTACGCAGAGTCTACAGCGTAATAAAGCCCGGCCTACCGAATGCGCGCAAACCGTCGCTGCTCTCATCGCTAAGCTAAAGGCCGTGGCGAGAGGCTCAAGCACAAACGATTTTGTATGGAAAAAGCTACATTGTTGTTGTAACGTCCGTTAGGGGCGCTGCTTAGTTTCATAGAAACATTGACGATGCGATACGTTACAGAGCTGTCAAAAATTCGTGCTTGGGCCCCAGTAAGTTTGCAACACTACAAATTTCAGTTTCACTCACAAAGGCGGGTATCTGCGTGGTAAGCAGGAAAGCGGCGGCTTCCTTAACGAGATGCCTCTGTTTGGCCAAATGTTCAGGAGTGGCGGCGTGCTTGATGCCCGCAGAGTAAACATCAGGGTTGAAGCGGACATCGAACTCGGACTCCTTGAGTGATGCGACCGCTCGCGCCGCTGATGCAACCACGGCGCGGGAACGTTCGCCCGCTGTGTATAATAATAATAATAAATAAATATTTCTAACACTCACACCAATTAGCCTAGACCCAAAGTAAGCACTGTAAGGCTTGTGTTATGGATAACAGGGTAACAGATAGAATACATATACTGTGTGTATAATAAGTATATTTATATCGAATTTCATTACATTTCATTGCTTGTATTCATCATACTAACATTGCCTGAGGGATTCGAACCTCACGAATAGGCGATACCTACATAAATCATATGGTGGCAGTCTTGTCATCAACCTATTAATGTCTCTAGTTTGGTCTCGGTATAGGCTTTCCCTATGGATGAAATGGGTAGGTTAGGCCAGGCTCCGTGCGGATAGGTGAGTGCTAACGACTGCAGATGCAGCCAGCCTAATTGCCTTAGCGTGGGATTTAAAGATTTTTATTATATTATATGCATCGATTTTGAATCAATAAAGTTTAAATTTGGCTTTAAGTAGACAGATTATATCTGAAAAAGTCTAAAAGTAGCAAAAATTGTTTGCACAAATAAACCTTTATAAATAAACCTTTCATATCTTAGTAAAAATTTATGTTATCCAGCAACTCACATATTTTCCCATTAAAATATATTTAACTAAATAAATATACTCACAATCACTTTCTTGTTTGTCACCACTGCATATGGAATCTGTGATGCTTTCTACAATCTTTTTAGCTACATCTGTATCAATGTCAGAATAATTTTCATTCAATAATAGTTCCTCATCTTTATCTTCTTTCACTTCTTTTGGCAATGATGCTTCATCTTTTTTAGCCTCCTCTTTTTTGGCACATTCTTTATTTTTCACTTCTTCCCTCTCTTTCTTCTCAGCTTTCTCCCTCTTCTCTTCTTTCTTTTGTTTTTTGTCTTTTACTTCTTTTTCCTGACTCTTAATGTCACGCTTGGTTCCTTTTTTATCAGTCTCATTGGTTTCCTTAACTTCTTCATCTTTCTTTAACTCAATTGATTTTTGTTCAGCAGTTTCACGCTGTCTTTTCGCACTCAACTGTTGCAAGTGGAATGCAGCGTAGCGAATGAACATGAAATAGCGAGCTCTGAAAAAGATTCAAAAGTTTAAAACATTGAAATCAGAAGTTTTCAGTGTTTTTATAAAATATGGCTCTTGATACTTACTCGACAAAACTGTCAACCAACTCCTGTCTAAGGCAACATAATTTGTGCTTATGTATAATGGGGAAGCCCATGGATTTGATATCTTCTCTCAATTCATCATCTTCCACTGCAAAAAAACAGCAAATCTTTATTAATTTCAAAACCAAAATGCCACGTGTATGACTAAGTACCACTTGAGACAGATATAGCTAATTTGGCTGATCATTTATTATGATGAGGTTTGTATTAAATAATGTATTTATAAAATGCTCCAGAAACCACCAGACATCACTAAAATCATCTTATGAATAGAGTCAGTCTCTTTAGCTCTCAATTTAGGTTTTAAGTTTAGAGAGCTTCGGCAAAATCAAGTCCATTGTCTATAATTCAATATGTTTGATTCATATAAAATACCGATGATAACAGGGCAGATAAGTTTAAGAGAGACCGAGACATGCGGCGAATAGCCCTTTTATCTGTAAAGCCTACCATCACTGGCTCTCGTTGTCGTTAATTTCATGCGAGTTGTTCTTTGGAGTGGTACTATGGTGGTCCCTGGAAGTACCCAAAGTGGTCCGCGAAAGTTTTGAAAAAAATATAACATAAGTAATGCGCTCGGACCATCTTCTATATCTACGGTTTAATTATCAGTACTCACGCTGCATAAAGTTGACTTCAGGGAGGAATGTTCGCAGCAGATGGAGGATGAAGTGGCGGCCGTCGTTGCTGATGATGCCCTTGCACTTCACACTCGATAAAAGTTCCACAGTCTCGCCATTCGCGCTGTTCACCGAGTGAGGCATTATCTTCAGCTGCTGACCGGCTTTGGTCAGTTGTTGTAACGAGTGACGCTCAAGTAGATTATCTCTACGGTTTTATTATAAGTACTCACGCTGCAGGAAGTTGACGTCAGGCGGGAAGGTTCGCAGCAGATCAAGAATGTAGTGGCGGCTGTCGTTGCCGATGATGCCCTTGCACTCCACACTCGAGCAAAGTTCCACTGTCTCGCCGTTCGCGCTGATCACCGAGTGAGGCATAATCTTCAGCTGCTGGCCCGCTTTGTTTAGCTGTTGTGTATTAAATGAAAAGTTAGTTTAGCTTATGTGAGAAGATTCATAAGATTGAGAAAAGGGATGGCAGTGTAATAACCTTTGATTCAAAGTATCACTATCTGATCATCATGAAAGGAAACAAAAAGAAAGTAGTCAAAAATACATTTGAGTCTAATGTCACTCATGAGTTGCTATTTCTTCTTTCAAATGTTTAATACTTGTAAAAGTATTCATTTGACATTGTGGGTTACCTATAATGCGAAGAGATGGCGCTGCCATGCAGCTTAAGAATGGCTAGAAGAATTTCGACGTGGTCCGTGATGGCCGCGGTAGCATAATTGGTCAGTACATTCGCCCGGATTGCGAAGGGTGCGGGTTCGAGTCCCGTCTGCTGCCAGGTCCGCGTGGATTTTTTTTCTAGTTATATTTTCTTTAGATTTAAACATCAAGCAGTTACATGCTTTAAAATAATAAAAATTATGGTTATTTTTACTGAAATACACAACAGAATTATAAATACCCACTTTTTACGGACTCCATAAACATTTAGAGATCGTTTTCTAAAACTTGTCAAATACCCTATTGCGATGCAAATTTCGAGTACTGTATGTTCTTAAATATTATAGGTACAAATAGTATAGTATAGACCGCGGCCAACTTAAGTTGGCAATTTTTTTTGTTTTGCTCAAGAAGTTTACCGCTATATTGCGATAAGGATATTTATGTACGTGGCGAAAATTAGTAAGCGTCATAATTTGCATGTCATTTTCGGTAATTTGAGTAGACAGTGAACGGTCACTCACATTCATATAGATCCTTGTCGCACTGTACCTATAACAACAATATGCTATGCTTCACTCACCAGCTCCATGTACTTGGGGTGTGAGAGTACAGTGGTGCCGAAGTCGATGCTGCCGTAAACGACGCTCTGTTCTTGCTCCTTCTCCAATATGCCGGGTATGATGGACTGAGCGGTGACCCGATAACCTCGATAGTCAACCACCACAGTGCCTAATGTGTGTAAGCCGGGAGTGTCTACGGCGCTGTATACGCGGACGCCTTGTAAATCGTTGCGCTGGAACAATCAAATCATACTCTAGACTTCAGTTTTTCCTTTATTATATACTTAGGGGCGTATTTACCCAAGAGCCAAGAGGGCTATGGCCCAGGGCGACGTGCTAAATGGAGCTGCGAGGGGCGGCAAAAGTCATATAAATAAAGACAATTTCGATTTTTTCGGCATATATGTTGATTTCATTTACTAATTCTAGGGAGTGGGGGAATGCAAATCGTAAGTGGCCCAGGGCGCCAGATTTGTAAATACACTCCTGTATACACAGTCGATTCAAAAGATATGGGGGACTCCAGAAGTGGATGTAAAAAGCTGTTACAGATATATTGGATTGGATTCTGAAAATTACTCCTATAGATGGGAAGACTGGATGCTGTAAGAGATAGATAGTAGTAATAGAAGAATTCGATCATTTCAAGCGAGTGAACTCACTCGCTTGTAATGATCGAAATGCAAGGCATAGTGGGGCGTGAGCTTCTTAGTTGCGGCTGACTTTATTTGACTACGAAAAATATTCACCTTTATAAAAAAGGATATTTTGTAAGCTCAGGGAAATGCAGTCAATAAAAGCCAAGTGCGAGTCGAGCTCGCATACGACGGGTTACACTTTATTATAATATCGAACAAAACCTGCAAAAAATCACGTGTTTTGTATGGGGGGCTCCCATACAAAACACATGATTTTTTGGAGGTTTTTCTTTGTTTCTAGTATTTGTTGTTATAGCGGCAGCAGAAAAATATTACCTGTGAAAGTTTCAAATGTCTAGCTATCACGGTTCATGTGATATAGCCGGGTGACCGACAGATGGACAGTGAATAGACAATGGTCCACCCAATGCGTGTCGGGAGTGTGGGTGTGGTCGTGATAAGCGTACGGAGCACTAACAAAATTCACAAATGCATATTCACCGATGTGACTAACAATGTCAAATACCCTAAATACACCAACACGAACAAAATCGTGCCCCAAAAATGTTCAAAAGGTACATTGGATCGCGTAGTCAAAAACAATATAATATATATTTAATCATTGAAAGTCGCCTTTAATGCACACTGTATAAGGTCTTAATTAAAACGCATGCGTCAAAGAGTTATGACAGTTCGAAATGTAATCTCGTAACATTTTACGACTTATTGCTATATGCGGAAGAATATAGACCTTATTTCATTGACTACACGCGCAATTCTGAATGCACTGTTAGCAATATAGCAGGTATGGACCGCGATGAAATGAGACGACTATATTACTAACCATGCATTTGAATATTCAAACTGTCATGACATATGTCTCAAATATAATCTATTAAACTACTTGACCGTCACTGAAAGCTTTATATTGAGATAGCACTTCCGTTTCCCGTCGAATTACCATCAGTTTCCGTACTTTTATTCACCTTGTATCCGGTCCAGTGGCGACACCTGGCAGAAGCGCGGCCATTTATGTTTTCCTAAGTTTTGACAGCGCCATATTAACTCATTGGCGTTCTGACTCCCGTCGAAGCAACACGTGCTCAATCTGAGCGATCGTTGTGCGATTTTAAAGGTTTTATTATTATTAAGTGATAAAACTGTAAGTAAAACTATTTTATTTAACGGTTTTTGCCGTTCGTGTTATTCCAAATAGGTACTTTACGTATTAAAAGTGAAGGAACCGTAAGTAAAACATAATTCTTTTTGATAGTTTTTGCAGCCCTTGTGATAAGGGATATTTAAAACAAATATGTTAAATTGTGCAATACGCTTGTTTGAAAAAGTAATAATAAGCCGTGAGTCGCCCACGTCGAAGCCTAGCGAGAAGAATATGTTGTTCCATATGAACATCTGCATTTTGGGCTCTTTGCCGGGGTTGATTGCCATCACTTTGCCGTTCACAAAAGCACAAATTTATATTCACCGGTGCGACGAACGCCGCAGCGTCACCGCCGAGGTCCTTGTAGTGGTCGCGCACGTCGAAGCCTAGCGAGAAAAGTATGTTGTTCCATATGAACATCTGCATTTTGGGCTCTTTGCCGGGGTTGATTGCCATCACTTTGCCGTTCACAAAAGCACAAATTTATATTCACCGGTGCGACGAACGCCGCAGCGTCACCGCCGAGGTCCTTGTAGTGGTCGCGCACGTCGAAGCCTAGCGAGAAGAATATGTTGTTCCATATGAACATCTGCATCTTGGGCTCCTCGCCGGGGTTGATCGCCATTACGTTACCGTCCACCACGGCCATCGCGCCGCGAGTAGCCGCTGCTACGAAGTCGCTGTGGACCTGTATGGTAAACAATCATATAATATCAAATCATTATCATCGTCAGCTTAATAATATCACCACTGCTGGGGTACAGGCCTTCCCTATGAATGGTATAGGAAGACGTGACCATAGCCCACCACGCAGGTCCAGTGAGGATTGGTGGGTGCTAACGACTGCAGATGCAGCCAGGACCAATAGCTTAACGTGCCTTCCGAAGCACGGCGAAGCTCCATATAGTAAATTTTTGGTCACCCATCCAATGATCGACTGCGAAAGTTGCTAAACTTCAACGATCGCTGCCAAACACACACATATTTTTCTATGTGGTAGGGCACAGCGGGTTTTGCGCTCGATCTGGAGCACACGTCTGGGGAAGCAACTCACATCTTACAAAAGACCACAGTTAATAGAACTTCCTTAAGGTGGCGTTGTGTTTTTGGTGGTGAGTAGGGTTCCAGGGCTCCGCGGGGTAGGGGATTGGGCCCAGGCTGGCAAGGTGAGGATGGCTGAAGCGGCCGCTTTCTGCAGAAAGTGGCCGCTTCAGCCATGCAGCATCATCTATCTATGCGACTAGACTCCACTTACACTTAACATCAGGTAGGGTTGGGCAATTTTTTGCCCCTACTAATATAAAAAATAGACAAGTATTCCTTAGCCAGCTGTCAGAAAAATTCGAACGCAATTTACTTGTCGCTTAACTCGGCTTCGTCTCTTCGATACACTTTTCTCTCTTTCTTTCAAGTAGAGACTAGAGAGTAATCAATTTAACACAGGTATTTGTCAGTCCATTATCTATGTCTATGGATTGAAACATGATTTAATTTAATTTAGGAAGTGACCCTAACTTACCTTGAAAATGGCACGTTCACGCAAAAGCCTCTCTGGCAGAGTGGAGCGCGGCAGCTCCCTCGTCGTCTGTAACTCCTCGTTCCAGTCGCGTGTCTGTCCGGGTATGTGCTCTTCATAACCCAACTTTGACGAAAACGCTGTGAGAAATAAACAATGAACACTGTAGAGTCATACTGCGTATTGAAGGCGCTGACGGTTGAGGGACAATTGATACTAGTAAATAAATAACAATAAATGTTTTTAACCCAATTAGACGAGCCCTGAAGTACAGCTGTCATCAATTTTTTTTTAGTGTATGGACCTTCCTCTCTGAATATGACTCAAAGAGGTCAATTCACTTTTAAGTTTTATTAAAGTTTAAGTCATCACTTTTTTGCCATAACAATAAATTAGTCTTAATGCGACTGAATGAAATACTAAACTAATTTTTCATCGCAGAATAAATTATAAATTTAAAAGAAATAAACCATTATCATTAATTGTTAAATGGGAAATTTAACAAACTAGCGTTGTTTTATTAAGGAAATGGTGGCAAACAATCATGTAACTGTCTGATGGTGAGCGGCTACAAAAACCTAAGGACGTTTGCGATATCAGGACGAGTGCATTATTCTAGACATACGCGCGATGTGCTATGAATGAAAGGATCGAAGGACCAAAACTGAAAAGTTAATGATATAACTTACTGTCTTCAGCACGTATAGCGTCGATGGTGTGTTCTAACATCGGGGAAGCCCATTGGTACACCTGGTAGGGAGTGGCGACCCTTTCAAACGGATGCTTTGCCATTCGTCGCTTCTGAACTAGAGCAAAGTTGCGCTTGAAAGCGGGCGATACGATACTCAGCAACTCGATCAGAGAATGGCACAGCAACGCAGGATTCGACGGACGAGGGTTGAACAATTCTTCAGTGGACCTGTGATTATAATAATAATGTATTTTTTTTTTGTTCAGAAATAGATAATTGTAATGAATCATTAGTCAGCAGTTGACAGTTACATGTGTTCGCTGTGCCTGCACGTACGTAATTGCACTCGTTGCTAACATCACAACAAAGATACAGAAGATTTGAAATAAAAAATTGTGTATAAATTTTCATACTAATTTTTACAATTAAATTGATAGGATACTGGTTGTTTTTTGTATTTATGAATAGCTAGCCGAATGCTATATAGGAGTGTTACAATAAGCGTCATTTGGCAATTTTCTCTTTATTCTGTTTTAATCGCGAAATATATTTTCCAGATAACGATGTCTACAATACAGATTTCATTACGATATTATATTAGTTTTTTAAGATACTAATAAAACGCCATGTAAAATCACACCAATATTATAAAGGCGAAAGTTTGTGTTTGTCACTTCTTCACGACTAAACGACTGGAGCGATTTTAATAAAATTTGGTATGGAGTTAGCTGATAACCTGGTTTAACGCATAGGCTACGTTTTACTGTAGGAAAACATCCCCAATAAACCGCGGGTAACACCGCGGGCTACAGCTAGATTGTTATAATTCACAGTAATGCGTTATTTTATTATGTTGGCAGTATGATTTCGTGCAAGTGACTAATCATCGAAAAGGAAGTTAATATTGAGAAAAAGAGATTGTGGCTTTGTTAAGAGGAATATCATTCATATAGAACTTGAATAGTGTTGTTATAATGTTAATATTTTAAGAATAAGTAGGTAGTAACTGGTTGAGGTAGAATCCTGTGGGGCACGCCGTAATATGGAAACAGCAGTCCTCAAGGGTGACCACGCGCAGGTAGAGCACTATAATTATACAGCGCGACAATGTCTTGTGTCGAAGAGGACGATAACATTTTAAAGAACCGATTAAAAAAATAGAGAGGCTTTACAGAACTTATAATTGTACTTGAATCGTGTTGTTTGTTATGTTATAAATTAATTACCTTGTTTATTGAAAATCCCTCAGGAGCCAGAAACACTTTTCCGGGATAAAAAGTATTATATCTCTTTCCAGGTTATAAGCTTATCTGTGTGTAAAATTTCATCCTAATCCGTTCAGCAGTTTTTGCATCATTGAGTAACAACTACAAACTTTCACATTTACAATATTAAGTAAGTAAGTGTAGAGTAACACAAAACTTCAACAATAATTATTCAAGTGATGTGGACGGGTTTCTGGCGAGACAAAATTATTTCAAAAACACTGTGAATAGTATTTTTTTTTTAATAAAAATAATAAAACCTAATTTAAATTATTTTATGTTTTTATCATCATTTTCTCTGTGGGTATGGCTTTATGCTTAGTTTTATACGTCTGTGTTATTATTTTTATATTGTTTTAAATTAATCTACGGCCTCGTGAGTACATTGGATAAAGTATTAAGTATATTGTTTAATTTTTACTTGTGAAAATTGTGTAAAGCTTATCATTTCGCAATGCTACATCATTTCGTTTTATCCTTTGTTTTAACATGCCATTTGTTTTCCATGAATAAGTAAATAAAAATAAGAATAAGTAGTTACTGGTTGAGGTAGAATCCTCTGGGACACGCCGTGATATGGAAGTGGCGGTCCTCGAGGGTGACCACGTGCAGGTAGAGCAGATCGCCGCACATCTTGCGCGGGCCCGGCGGCGGGTTCCAACCAGAGGTGGTCAGCACCTGACCGACATAGGTACTGCATGTCAACACCATAAAGCCTCGATGACACGGCGCGACTTTAGAAGGTAGCTAGCGAACTAGCTGTGTTGTAGCTTGTAAACTCGCCCTGTGTCATCGAGCCTTAAGATTCAATGAGGGTTTTCATGAAAAGGACATGGCTAAGAAACTGCCCTTAACATGTCCTAATTAATAAAAAAAATATATGTATATTTACTGCGCACTAGCCCGTAACATTAAAATATTTTTTTATTTACTATTACGTGTTTATTATTCTCATAGAACTTTCGTGTAATAATCAAATAATTAAAAGTATTAAAACTGACTTCCTGACTACAAAAGAAAAATAACATAAATAAATGAACAATTAATCTACATAAAAATAATTTGTGCTAGTATATCAAAATAAACAATATTAATTTCAAACTATTAAAAACTATGGAATACTTAGCCTATTTTTTTATACCAAATCACTAAAAGCTTAAAATAATAGTTTTTTTATCTGATCAGACTTGAGACTAGGCTATATAAGAACTACTCCTTTGATTTTTGCAAATGAACAAAATTAAACTTCACATATTTCCTGTCAGGCCGACGATACTATATACAAATTATTTGTATTTATTTTTGCTTTAAAAATACTTTTTATGAACTTTACTTTTTTTACTCAGAAATCGGAGGAAATACTCTAAGAAAAGGTGAAATTGATGGCTCTGTTAATAATTGGCAATATCTTTTATCAAATGTAGCAAGGTAACGAAGTAGTAGTAATTTTACATAGCAATTGTGTTGTGTGGCACAATCTTCACATTGGCGGACTGAACCAAGCTTTGCGTTTCATTTAAAATAACTGTAACACGATAACCTTCTTCTTTAATGTTTTTAACCCAATTAGACGAGCCCTGAAGTACAGCTGTCATCAATTTTTTTTAAAGTGTATGGACCTTCCTCTCTGAATATGACTCAAAGAGGTCAATTCACTTTTAAGTTTGATTAAAGTTTAAGTCATCACTTTTTTGCCATAACAATAAATTAGTCTTAATACTAAAACGTTTCTCTGGACAATATGACGTTTTACTAGTGTGTGACGTCACACGACTGTTAATAAAACGTCAAACGATACAATGTAATGTCACTTAAACCGGAAGTTTACTTGCGTGTGACGTCATTTTAGGCTTCGCCAATCGTTTTGGGTCAAGTGACAATAGATAAAAAAACTATTATCTTTTTCGTGGGTTTTTAGTAAAATTATTAATATTTTTTCAAACCCCTGCCAATATTCAATCTTAACACAGATGCTAATAATTGGCACTTTATTTTTAATACTGTCAAATACCCTATTGCTTACAAAAGACGAAGATGGCTGGAGTAATGACAACAATTCAATCCGGCCAATGACAGAAACGCTTAGCTTTCGTCGGAAATTGCTCATTTCCGTAAATAGAGTATATTTGGCGCCACCGTGGCATCGGGGTGTCGATTCTGTTAAGCTAACGTAAATATCGTCTCAATATTGTTTCAATAGTATCGCTTTTGGCACATAAATACAGTTCTTCTTACTAAAATAAAAAAAATACAAATGCATATAGCTAAAAATAACAACGATTTATTTATTAACGATAAACATGACAATAACCAAAACTACTGAAACATGTCTTTTAAGGGAAGTTTTGATGCGAATTCACGTAGTGTTTTTTTATTAGCTGCGCAGGGTGCGCAAGAAAATGTTTTAATAAAACGCCTCCGCCTGCCGACAGTTAAATTAAAAATTTTAATCTTTTAATTTTGTGTAACATGCTTTATACCTTATTGACCCATACACTATTAAAATATATAAAATTATTACATATATAAAATTAGAATTAATATAATAACATAGCATTACATTAATTAGAACTATGAAATGGTTTCGAGCAGGTTATTTATTCAAATAATGCAATTGAGTTAAATCAAATATGTAATATGTTAAAAGCTTAGAAATGAATAGAGGAGAACATTTAATAATATAAAGCACAATTACCTTAAGGCACTGTGATGCTTTATTTTCTTTAGTGAGACCTGGATGAAGCGGTAGCAGAGGTCTTTCAGTACTGCCAGGCATTATGTAATCTGGCGGAGTGCAGTCTACGCTTTCAGGACGAGATTTTTTCTTCTCTGTAAAAAGAATAAATAACTTTGAAATGTAACTTTCCGCATCTGGTTGCTTGTCCACTAACTACTCCTAACCCACGCAACGGATTAAGATGTTCTTGTGTCAGTGGGATAAATTATTCTCAAAATTTATATATGTATAACATAAGTCTAAGAACAAGACTACAGTCTGTCTATACCAAAGCGAAGCGAGGGCAGGTCACCTTATAAAAAATAAAAAAAAAACACAGCCCTTAACAATAACAAAACCCAAAAAAACAAAACAGTAAAAAATCTTTTTTTTTTTAATAGGACGGTGTACGGGACGACCGAAATCACAAGGACAAAACTTCATAAGTGCAGTGAGACGTCATAAACAGTTCGTTTATAATCAATAGTGAAATGTGAATCTATATGTGATTTCTTGTGTTATTCAGTTAGAGATTAGTTTTATACAGCAGGTTCACGCATTAGTTACATAGGATAGTTTGTAATTTTGATATTATATAGGTTTTAATGTTTGAAATCCGCATAGACGGTTTCTATGCCAACGGGTCAGAAAAGTCGTAGTTGATAGATCGTAAGTTGATAGTTTGGGTTAGCAAAAATTATAAGTGTTTGAATTATATGTTTCCGATTGTTATTATTTGTGGCATTAATGAAATGTAACTCTCGTATAGTTTAGGATAAGACTAATAGGTATAGTTAAGTAATAAAACCGTAGACAATTTTCGTTCGATAGTCAAGTATTTATTGATTAAAGGATTTGAATAAACGATTTTTCTTGTGTGTTTTCATTCCCTCTACAAGGCTAAGTACAATAAATAGATATAAATTAGGTATAAATAGCTAATTAGCCACAAAATATGTAGTTTATAGGGCAAAATAGTTAGTTTGTAGTCATAATATCAGCTAGATTTTGTTACGATAGGTTCATAGAATAGAAAACTATGTAAGTAATTCGATAAGTTTCAAGTCGATGTATGTAAAAGTAAGCCGAATATTTAGTACATAACAAAGATGCAGCGTGGACAGTTAACGTAAATAAATACCTATATACTATATAAAGCCTATAATAAGTACATACTTACTAATTCTGGCAAGAGAAAACTATTGCATTATGTAAAATCCAGATAAAGATTATAAATATAAGAGGATAATTGGACCTAGCTTCTAAATTAAAAAAAAAACATTTCAAAATATAGATAACCCAAAGTGAGTTTGGGTTTTGTCTATTGAGGTAGTTCTGGTGCCTGAGTACTTTTTTAATTTTATTTCGACCTATCCATATTGCTTTAAAACAGTTTTTGTCTTTTCCACTTATAACCCCCTTTTTATATGACATTACCTAATATGTCGCCCTGTGTGATGACATTCAGGAAAGCGAGAGAACTGCATTCTTGACCAGCATAGGCATCAGTGTAGTCAATAGACTTTAGCAAATCACGCACGTGACGTACATGAATTCTGGCTTCACGCATCGTGTATGGCTCTTCGACTACCTGCAAATCATTTATCAACATTTTATTATCATAATTATTTACTCAAACAATCAATGCGCTACTGAAAAGCACAATGAAGAAAACACGAAGTCCTTGACTCAGATTATAAATGACATAAGAAACATTTGCATAGATTTATAATTATTATTGAAACGTTATATCATATAGATAAAATCTGGTGTTAAAGGATAACGTCAAAATGCTATTTAATACAGTGAAGTAATCGCCAGTACCACCAATTTAATGAACGATATTCAATATCAAAACTTGCATACAAAATACTTAAATTGTTGCCCTGTGACAAACTTTAATTATGTTTCTAAATTGAATCAACAAAGTAGTAATGGAACAAATAAAAAACAAAAAAGCAGTTTATTATTTTACCTTAATAACAGAACCTTCTTTTAATCCTTCAATGTTCTTCAACTCAGCAAAATTGTCTAAAGTGATTCCATCAAGTTGTAACGAGAAACAAGTCCTGTGACATGTGTCTTCACGATCCATTAAGACCTGATGTATTTCTTGTACCAATTCCATGCTTGAGACCTGAGAAAATATAGCATAACGCAATTAATTCGTTTATTATTCATGTAAATTTTGTTTAAATATTTGCTGTACAATTACATGTACCTGTATGTCTAATGGTTCAGCTCCAGGGCTAACAATTTTGACAGTGAATCCCATATCTTGAATAAATAAAACTTCAGGATCTCTTTTCTTCTCATCACCATCCTCACTCGGAGTAGACGCTCTATCTTTGTCACCATTAATTATTTTATTGTTATCGCCATTTGTGCAATCAGTCTCTTTATCGCCATTATTTAAAACCTCTACCTCTTCTTTCTTACTTTCTGTGATTTTAAGATCAGCATCAGGTTTTGTCTGTTTGTCTGAATCATTTGTATTGGTCAATCCTTTAATTTTAATGTTATCTTTTTTCTTACCTATTGTAGGTTTAATCTCTGTAGTTTTAATTGGACAGACTACAGGAACTGTTTCTTGATGTGCTTCATCAGATGTACTCGATTTGGTATCATCTGTGTCACTGTTAATTCCATTAGTAACTATTTTAGCGTTATCATTACTACTAATATCACAATCTGAATCCTTTTTTGGATCACCATTACAAATTTTAACATGTGCATTTTCTGTTCCGTTAACTATTGCTTCTTTGGTACATAAAACATCTTTCTTGCTATTATTCGATATTGAACCTTGTCCATTGACCTTTGTTGCCGAATTTGTAGCCTTCGGTTGTGATGACTTCTCGTTGTTCACTTTATCTTTTTGTGATTCTGCAAATAAAGAAAAATAATAGTGTATAAATAATCAAAATACTTATTGTCATCACTAAATATTCCTTATAGTTTCACTAACTATTTTAAATATACTACGTAATATTGATCTTAAAAATCTAATAATGCTTACACTTGTATTATTTACAAAATGTTTTTAAACCTAATATAAAGGCTGCCTTGCTTTATGATTTAATAGAATTCAATAAATCAGCTAAAGCACCTGTATTGGGCGAGAAAGGCGCAGGAGTGCTGTTGGTTTGCGGCGATGGTGGTTTACGAGCAGCTGCTGCATAAGAAACCCTAGGTGCAGGAGCAACACTTCTGCCACCACCCTCATCGTCACCTCGCCCATTAGGCACACTCGCATGACCGTTACTGCAAGACACTCTGACGGTAGCCTCCGTTTTCATCTTTGAAAATGGCTTCTCTTGTTTCTCGACTGAAACAAGGAAATATTTATATTTCTACTAGTGGTCTAGTGAGCTATCACTACAAAAGCGTGCTAGAATACTAAAATATATTTAATAATAGTTACGATAAGGTAACTGTGGTTTTAGGGGCATCATTCACATGTCCAATTGTACATAGAACGAGCGGCAGACGGAGCGCGTCGGGCGAGTGCGTATGCCCAACCCGTGACGAGAGAGCACGTGGCCTGTGCTGGCACACCGCCAACTATCTCCAACAGAGAGTCAATAATAGATGGCAACGGGATGCCGCCAACAATAGACGCCATCGACTTACACTCCGCTACATCTAAAATACAACATTTCGTCTCTACAAATGCTTGGATTTGTTTTGGAAATGCTAATAGTGTTAACCGAGTAGTAACACGGATTCCTGATTTGTGCTAAATCAAAATATGGAAAATAATAATTTATTATTTAATAATATTTAGAGATCTTCAAATAATTAATAACACTTTGCTAATGTGCAGATATTTACGACTATACGTAAGTACGAAACTACTACCCCTTTATTAATAAACGAAGACTAAGCTTGGATTAGTTACTCTATGTTTTGTCTCTGTTCATTGAATGACAAATTGCACTTGAGTGATATGAACAAGACTCGGCGCAACTAGTCTAAGCTTATTCCTTGTTTATTATTAAGGGGGTAAGAATATAAATATTACTGAATATATAATAATTAAAGTAATCTTCGTAAGGTATGCAATTCACAGCCATATATATATATATATACGAATAATTAATCGAATTATTTAATATTGTATAGATAAATTAATAGCATGGCCTTTAATCTCATTATAGACTGCCAATGGACAATATTATGTTTTGATAAATGAAAAGTGGCAATCGCTTTTATTTGTAAACGTATACGCATTTTACCATTGAATGGTTAGTTAAATTAACATTGAAGGAAATATCCACTGCAATAGAAAACAGACGCAAATGTAACGTTCTGGCATCAGAAGATAATAAAAAAATATCATAAAATTTTTATCACATTGCGTTTCTAAACATGATAAGTCAACAAGAAACTTGGGGTGCCAGCGTTTCAAGATAAGAATAAGAAATCAAAGTTATGATAACGAAACGTTGACACAATTTCTTTACGTCTCTTGCGTTCTCAATATTGTAAGAGGGCTCTGCTACTATATTTTGCACAGAAATTGATAGAATGGAAGTGTAATAGTTGTGAAAAGACTTAGATTGTCAAACAAATCATAAATTCATATTCCAAATTTGTTTATTCGCAAATCTACAGCGGGAGACTTTGTACTGGGAAGAACGGGCAAGAACTATTTTTTATCAACATCAAATCATACTTCCTACTAAAGTAATGTGAAAGTTTGTACGTTTGTTTCTCAATCACACAAAAAATATTGAATTGGATAGGATTAGGATGAAATTTGGTGCACATATAGTTTGTGACCTGGATTGAGACATAGGATACTTTTCCCGGAAATGTGAGGTTCCTGGGGGATTTTCGAAAAACTTAAGTTAACGCGGGCGAAGTCGCAGGCGTCCGCTAGTAAACTAGCTTCTAACCAACTGGTTCGGAAAACAGCGACGGTGCTATTCGATGAATTATGCAAAGGGTATGACATCCATCCATCCAGCGCACACCACGACGACACCTGAATATTTAACCTTTAACTCAAACTTATTTTCCTTGGCATTACGATTTCTTTAAGTGCTCTGAATTATGTTTACATAACATCAAAACTGAGATGGATTTTCAATAAAGGGATTGTTTATTCTTATTCGGTCTAATTTCGTGAGAAAATTTTGACACATACAATCACAACAAATAAAGTAAAAATCATTCAATGACATTCAATAATAATTGAAATCCGCACAAGAAGAATAGACAAAGAAATAAAAAACTAATTAATGCAAAGTGAATAAAGGTTGAATTAAAATTACGCATATGCAAGAATCATGCTAGAAATGATAACAAAATATGTGAACATTACAATAAAGAAAAAAAAAATAGCTAAAAAAAAGTAACCCGCTACCATCCGCTACAAATTAGCTTCAGTGAGCATGGCAACCAAATGTTGCAATGCAACGTGTCTGCGATTATATAATGAGATCCGACTTGAATGGTCGATACGCGTGGTGCAGCGCGGCACCGCTTGGTTCAGAGTTCCGATTGACATCACAACCGTTCAATATGTCGTGAAGCTATTTTCATACTGTAATCTCATCAACGTTCAGAGTCAAAAATACCTGCTTGGTATCTTTGAATGTTAAATAGACTTGAAGTTAGGTAAATAACCAAAGAGAAAATATGTAACTCTTAGAATAGTAGCTAAAGTCATTATTTTAAGATGTAACTGTAATATTGAAATATGATTTACAGTTTTACACCAATTTTTTACACAGAAGAGAGGTTAAAGACTGATGGATCATAAATATTATGATGACTTACGTATTTGACCTGACATTAAGTATAGTCAAATTTGAATATGGATGAAACAACGCGCCCTAAGCTGCTAAGGGATTAAAACAGGGAATAAAAGTTTATATACAAAGATAGACATGTTGATAGATGAGCTTACCATAAGCTCATCTATTAACATGTCTATATAAGTTGATGTTTACCTATTTTATTTTAAAGATAATAGTTTCATTCAAATTTTAGGAGATGGTTTTCAATATATATTTAGGGCTATCAGGACTTTTGTTTGGAAATTCGTCTATAATCAGTAATCGGTTACACAAAGTGACGAAAGTTTCAAATCCAAGCTTATTTATGCAGTCCGGAGAATAGCTGTAACAAGCTCTTTAAATGTCTTTATGCCTGTTCACTGCTCTATAGAGACGCGTGCAGCGATGGACTGCGCGCATTCATCGGCTGATTTTTGCCCATAACCCTGTCACTGAAGGCTTTGTTCCGTGGCGTTTTTCTGAGATTATAGTATTCTACATTGTTTTCATCACTCGCCACGTCGCTCTTAGCTACCTCATAGCAACAACATGTTATTAGAGATAATTCCTTGAATTTAAAACATTGAAAACAACATTGAGAACAAACTAAATTACGAGAAAAAAGTTGGTAGAAAATAGTTAGTAATTAATTTGATAACTAGCTTTAGTGACATTACAAACATTATTTATATAGAAAATTATTAAAAATTGTTGCCATTAGTTGGATTTGCTGCTCTTCGAGCGCGCTAGTGATGAATATGATACTGAGAAAACTTTTGTTGTATATTGATGCTGCCGTGTCGTAATTCGTTAACACATATCTCACACTTAACAAATAGCACTTTTTAGATTAGGCAGTCACGATTCCAAGATTTTTAGCTCTTTTTAAGAAGCTGGAACTAAATTTACGTGTAGGGTCTTTTTCGGTGGGTGCATTCGAATTCTTTAACTTTAATTTACCAGGGTTCATTGACACATGTAAGGTCTTGCGCCACTTGACTGTCACCTAACTTATTAGACTGTGGTACCGGCTATAGGTATGTTGTATACATGTACACTTGTTTATCTTGCCATGTAAGTACCTCATTGTAATCAGTGGATCTAGCAGGACCACGTAACTACATTGATATTAATTTAACATTAACGAGGAACTTGCATATTTTAATTTTGTTCATTATAAGTAGTCGACATTAAAGATTTATGAATCACCATGAACAAAATAAAATGAAAATCTTTTTTAAATAAATTAAAAACTGGCCAAGGACTTGTCCAACCATTTTTGCGGGAAAACTTTTTGCAAACGTATGTGTGCGTGTGTGTCTCATAATGTGTGAATAGATGAAGGAATCTCCTTTATCAGGAGGACTAATAAATGTTCGAGAAAAGGTGGCGTCCACCCTATGGAAATAGTAACACTCGAAGTGTAACAGTGGGGCAGATTAACTCAAAACCAAGCTCAATAATGCAGTAAAAGCCATAAACTCAGAACATTGGTACACATTTAAAAAAGAAAGAAGCTCAGATCCTACCACATATTGACTTTACACTTAACCATCAAGGCCCATTCATCCGGATAAATTCGGATTTTTTCTATTCCTTCATAAAAAATATATATAGGGATAGTCAAATCAGTATTCATTTATTTAACTAATTAAGGGAAGGATGCAGGTTCGAGTCCCGTCGGCTGCCTGGTTCGCGTGGATTTTTTTATTTTTTTTATTTCACTTCGAGCGAAAAGTGTGCCCTACCTGTCTTACTGCTTATATTATGAATATGACTTATCTACGTATTAATCACACCATAACATTTCTCACGTTACAAACCAGGAACGATACGGTACAAATATTCGGACTCGTCGCCGTCGGTATTTTCGAGATAAGAAAGAGTTAAGTCAAATTTACATTGAGAAATTAGTGGCATGAAAGTAGTACCGTTGACACTATTTTCATCAACAATTTCACGTGTGACGATTACACGTCTTGGCTTTACACGTTACATTGTTAATGAAATATATGTCCCAGAATTACTTTTATGCTAATGCCACTAAAGTAGGTAATCTCTCTCTTAAAAATCTCTTCGGTAGTGTCGTGTGAGGCGTTTAAATGGTTGAGCGATGCGATGGCTGGTTCATGCGTCATGCTCGTGAACGGGTGCTGCCAGCGGGGATAAGTTTGCTCTATACTGCTTTATTATTGAGATGATGTTATCCATTATACCTAATGCACTTTGTATTTATACTATATGAGACAGCAATCAAAAGGTGAGTGAACATTGTATTAGTAGCGACATGTTTTTTTTTTGTAAACGTTGCTACTTCTGTTAAACGCTAATGAGTTTCTTCTGACGACATTGTCAAATGTGCTGGGAGCCGATGGATGCGGATAGCGCAGGACCGCGCATTGTGGCGTTCTATGGGGGAGACCTATGTCCAGCAGTGGACGGAGAAAGGCTGATGGATGATGATGGATGAGTTTCTTGCGCCCATTCATATCATCAGCTAAAAGATGTCCTGAATGGGTGCTAAGAAAAAATATTGGACGATTCAAAAGAGCTTTTAATAGGTCAATTGGAATAAAGAATAATTTCATTTCATTTCAAAAATATAAATTCGGCTTTAGGTAGGTACTGCATGTTCAAGTTTATTTAATCTCGTATCTTTATAAAAACTTCTTACATAAAAGCCGAAAAAAAATGGAAGATTCAATACAGTAACTTAAAAACTATTTAACAAAAAAAACTTAACTGACGAAAAAACTGAAAAGCAAAAAATTGTAAACTACCCAATAATTTTATATGGTATAATTTTTGTGACTATAACTTTTGTCACATACAACTTAGCATTAAAATCTGTGAAAAATCACCCTTGTTTTTCACCCTATCCAATAAAAAAAAGAATCTTCAAAATTAAGTAATAAGTTTTTGAGGTCACACATTAGAATCAGTGAGTAAATAATCAATCATCCCCTGTTTTCCTACCCTTAGTGTTATTTTTTTCAAAATGAGACCAGCATCGAATATACCCTTTCCAATAAAAAAAAACATTTATCAAAATCGCACTACTCTGTAAAAAGTTATGCGTGATCATTCATAAAAAATATATACGCGTCGATTTGAGAAGCTCCTCCGTTTTTTTTCGTGGGTTAAATAAGTAGTAAAGCATTCAAAAAGAGAACTAGATAATGTGAGACTTCTGTACATTTAGTTTATTTAACAAAGGAACCGCATAGGTGAAGTTGTTCCTAAAATAATAACTATACAGTAAATAAGTTTAATATAAACATATTCAATACACTCTTATTTAAATTTCAATTGGCAACAAAGTAACGTCGCGTGGGAAAGGTTTCGTGTCTAGATTTTTGTATGTTTATTTTAAACAAGTTAAAGCAAGATTTAATTCAATTCTCGTATCGTATCTCGTCACATGTGCGTCTTGTCAGTTACCTACAATTGTCACATAAAAAAGATTCACGCCTGTGGGGGCAGCATTTTTTTGTTGGTAGTTCAGACAAAAAAAATATGCTATTTCACATTTCCCTCCACGCTTTGTAGTTTCATGGTTTTGTGATTGAAGATTTAAACTTATGTTTTATCGTAAAGATACAACAAAATAGGGATGATCACTAATTTTTTTTTCTTCGTTTATCAGGTAGATTATCGAAAAGTATTGGACATGTATATTTTCTTTTTTCACATAAAATAAACATTGCAGAGATATATATTGATTTGAAAAGTCGCATGACGTCACGTTTTGGGACACTTTTAAGTGAAAATGCTAATTTTGGTTGATTGTCCAAAGAAAAAATACGTTTCCATTATTTTTTTGAGCATGTAACTGACGGACTAAATAGAATTTCGTTTACTGTACCCCGTCATCCCATTACCCCATTATGTAGGTTCTCCAACTCTTATCCTTTTACCTAGGTACTTCAAAATTTGGTATGAAAATGTCGATTTCAATTGCCTCCATTAATTTAAAAGTTATTTCTTGAAAAGGAGCTTTGCCTACCTGTTATTGCGAAAATTAAGTGGTTATGCCAATTTAACCGGAAGCAAAACAAAACGAGCATCGTTCTTCGTTCGTTTCAATTATATTTTGGCATAAGGATGGTATGAAAAAAACAGACTAAGAGCGTGTCGGGCCACGGGCAAAGTAAAGTTCCGTAGTTGGGATGTATGGGAGCGATTTAACAACCGCTTCTCCAAGTCAACCTCAGCTTATACTGCTGGATAACGAACGAGGCTCGTGCGACCGACCGATGGACGGTAATATCATCCATAACTTATGTGGCTTAATCTCACAAGCCGGCAACGGACAGCAACGTTACCAGTGCGATATCTACATATTACGATCGCCAACGCGCCTGCCAGGCTGGTGATTATGGGCAAATCACACATGGCCAGAACCCCTAGTTCCCGGCCGCCCTGCTATTCCTGACCACGGCGGAGGTCATGGTAACGGCAGGATAGGACGTGCTAAGAACAAAATAATTTTCGCCATACAATATAACTCTGTCAATGTACAACAGGCGCACGATTCGCACTTGGCACAATTGAAAGAACTTGAAAGGATTAAGTGGCATCTCTTAGGTCCAAGCGAAATCCGGATAAAGGGGGAGGTCACAATCAAGCTGAAAACAGGCCGTGTTAGGTAATTCCGAGAGGGAGACAAATTGTCCCAAGGTACAAATCTCTCTCTCTAACCACGTTGTGGAAATATCCAGTGTGTGCAGCATGGTTGCGTCATTCCTAATCATGGTAACAGAGGTATAGCTTAAAATTAAACAAGTATATACGCCAAATTCGACATACTCGGATCATCGGATGATAAAGTCGAGATTACGTCGCAAAAGCCTTTCACCACCAATGCCCACTTTAGTGTTTTTATGGGTTATTGGCGCTTAAGTGGGAGTGCAGAATTGCAAGGAATCAGTAATATTCAATTGTAGGAACCACATGGTTGCGGCAACAGGCTTAAATTTCTTTGAGATAGAGTGGAGCTCTGTTTGTTTAATTTTTTCTTTAAGAAATGCACCTGCTGGCGCGAATAATGAGATCTATTTCACCATAGTGGACCAAGAGGCATATATTTATACACGTCTCAGTAATCAATAGGTTTAACACCGGAAGTGATTACCAACTCGTTCGAGGCTCTCTGTGCAAGTTGAAATGTGTTCGCCTGATGTGGTCTTATCTACGACCTAAACTGCTACAGACCATGATAGGCTTTGAAACATTCCAATCCAAACTGGAGGATCGTTTCGCTGCTGTGAAAACCACAAATAACGTTGACGGAAATCTCGAAAAAGAGATTGGAGTCATCAGGGTAGAAAGTACGAAGTTTTGCCAAGTGCAGCGTAAACGCCAGGAAGTCGAAGCTTTCAAATAAAACCTTGAGACTCATGACGGAACGACATGACTACTCATAAATCAATTCGTCAGACTATCGTACAGTAAATGGAAAACTCGCTATGCTGGTACCACGCGATATTCGAGCTCAGAATACACGCTCTATCTATTGATAGAACGATTGAGCAAAATCGAGGCTCGCGTGTTTTTTCAGAACTAAGATGAAGGCACCTCATGAAGCTGATCTCAAACAGTCAAGATGTTATTACGACGATATCACATATAGCATGCTTCGCAACCTAATTCTGATTATGAGGACTCTGTTTATTGTTACCAGAAATCAGCCTAAGAATGGAAAAGCTTGTGGGGTGGATGGCATTAAAATGAAGCTCCTAAATGCTGGAGGAATATCTGTGTTAAAGGACCTTAAGTCTTTTACGCTTTATTCTTTGATGGAAAAGCTCCAGAGTAATAGAGTGATAGGGTGGTTATCCTTCTTCATATAAAAAACAAAGGCTTGCTCAAGAACTACAGGTCAATTTTGCTTTTGAGCTATATCTTCAAGCTGTTTTCGAGGGTCATCATGAATCATCTGATAAGGACGACTTAAGTTATGTTGGTTTTAAAAAAAAAATTCCGTACAACGTGATCTAACTCTTTCATATAGGGGTGATTATTTTGAGAATAAAAAATACATGTTTTCCTTCAAGATTAGGTACCGCTTTATAATAATTTGTAATATATGTATACAACATGTGAGACCCTTTACATGGCATGACCCATTCACTAAAATCAGCTTTGGAATGTCATTTCCCTTCAACTATATGTTAGCTGTTTTAACCTATCAAATTAATGTGGTGAAATGTGAGGTAAAAATTATAATTCATGAGAGTTGCATATAAAGAGATTTTTGCAAGTAGTAGCTGATTAAAAAAGGTTTAATAAAGAGAGAATGCAGAATTGTTATTTCAAATTCAAAACCAGGTCAAAACTATAGTGATAATCACTCAGGTCTCAGTGCTTCCTTTTTGAAGCAACATCAAGCAGTATTAGCTACTGCTTGTTTTGCATTAAGGACTATTGAGAGCTTGCTGGAGGTAGCTTAGTTATGCTAGCCAGTGATCCTAAATGATAATAATATTTCAGTTAACATAAATGTGTAATTAGGTAGGTAAATTAGTAAACTAATCATTATAATCTTATGTATTTTTGATGTTTACATAAGCAAACAAGCAACTGAATGTATGTTTGACATATTGTCAATAACAGTTTGATATAAGAAAAATATATAAATGACAATTCTTGGAGGATTCTGTCTAATGTTTTTTAATTTAGTAAATATAGATTTTTGTTAAAAGTACCTCATTAGTTTTTATCCTCATTATATATATATATAAATTAAGATATAAATAAATCATAGATTTAATAATATCTTAAATTTATTTAATAATAAAAACTACTATCACTATAACAGTAGTAGTAGTGTAATTTCGTCCATTGGGACAGGGGAAGGTACTAAGCTATCACTATAACAATAAAGAACAGTAATTTACTCATTTATACAAAGTTATAAATTATAGGAATTAATAAGAAAGTGATTTTCCTATGCAAAGGAGTGTGTATATTTTACCCACATAGACCACAGAAAAATTGTGTCTGTATTATATCTAACTGTAGAATCTGTACCTATCTAGATTAATGTAACACTTATGATAAGTTGTGCAATGATTTACTTACATCATAACATTACCACAATCATGAATTAAGATGACACTAATAATTTCTTGTCGGTTAAAACAGTAGGTAATACATGAATAACTCAAGTTTGGACTAAATCATTTGAAGCAAGGATACAGTTCATGGTGTTCATAGTAGCAATGATACGATCACATGATTGTATCAGGAGTTAATGAGGGTCACATGACTCTAATGCATTTATGCAAGCACGCGGTCAATCACAAAGAAAAATATTTATCTGAAAACTCAACGTTACATAACTGAGGACATGACCATAGAAGACTTACCTTTAACATTGTCATAGCCAATTTTGTCGTTCCCGTTACTGCTAGCTGGACATTTTTTCACTTTTTGTGAAGTACTTTTTGTAGCTTTATCATTCACTTCACTACCGAGAGCCATCACAACACCAGAAATTAAATCCGCCAGCAATTTGACGGCGACAAGCACAGTCCACACTCAGCTGAAAGAGAACATGCGGTGGACATAAGGTTCAATTTAGACTGATTTCACATAAGGAGTACGAAGTCCTTCTGTAGGTAACGCGACCAAATTAAATATATACATATCAATCTTATAATAAATGGTAAATAAGGTAGCCTTAACTTGTATGGTTACATTCCTTCAATTTTCATGCTAAAATAATTCTTGTAGTTAGGATGTTAAAATTCATATCGATTATCTCACAATTTTAAAAGAGGTAAAAAGAAAAAGACCTAAAGATGCGTTCAGACTACGATGTAGTCATGAAACTTTAAAGCTTTTTTTGGGCCTCCCCCCCTTCGATGCTTTATTATCGGTCGATAATATTGGATGCGATTTTGTAATATTTGGATTAGTACATTATGTATTTCGGGGATGGCTACGAAGTTACACACTGCTGCGATAATAACGACGGAATAGAAGTATGAGGAAATATCGCAATAACGCATCTGATATTCATAATCACTAGACTACAGTTTGTCTATAAAGTCGTGACATGAATGTTTGAGGAACTAACATTATTCATGTGTCTGGCAACACCAAACTTATGTACATCAGCTGTCATCGAGTTTCAGTTGTGGAACAGTTTTCCTTTTGTATTTTTTATTGTTTGGATTTAATTTACTGTAATAAATTAAGACGAAACTACGCAGAAAGGTATAAAATGAGTAAAGTAAATCAGAGTGGCACGCGGGAAGTGATTTTTTAAGTTTTCCAGCGATGTTTCGAAGACTACCAAGCTGGACGAATTTTGTGGGATTTGGATGATGTTTATGGGCGAACAGCATCTATAACGGGTATGTAATCGTGTAACTATTTGTTTGTAATCTGCCTAAAGTTACAAATTTACTCAATTTACGATTTTGAGACCAAAAAAGGCATTGTTTACATTGCACATTTTTAGGTTAGTTTGACATTGTAAATAGGTAATATTGTAGTACGACCATTTCTTTTGATTAGAGCTGTAGCAAACCGTATGTATTCGGTACTGAGTAACGGGTGCGCCATCTAGTACCGAGTAACGAAACGTTACACACAAATAAATTTCGTTACTCGCATTTTTCGTAGTATGACTATCTACAAAGAGTTTTGGGGAATGTTTAACCGCTGCTCCCCACTAGCGGAACGGAGTAATTAAACGACGATACGTCAACTTATCAGCACTATATTTGGAAAAAATTCACAATTATAAAATACCATTTGTACGGACGATATTTTTTATCTGCCCCCCTAGCATGAGTAACAAAACGCGATATGATAAAGCGATTTATCGACATTAACTGTCAAACTACAATGGAGTTTGACAGTTGAGTGTCGATAAATCGCTTTATCATATTGCGTTTTGTTAGTCATGCTAGGGGGGCTGAAGTCTATTTTAAGATGACAATTAAAATTTTTTTTTTTTTTTGTATGGCTTCGCACGGTTTGTGCATTTTAGCCAATTTTGTAATTATTATAAAGGTTAGGAAACGAAAGGAAAAGAAAAGGAGGGTTTTCGGGATTTTGAATATTAGGATCAGAAGGGTATACATATATTAGTACAAGACTAAATTAAAAAATAGATATATATAAAAAGAATTAATTATTAACATATTTACAAAATAACACAATAAAGATATGCACAAATTATATTTATATTTTAATATTATTATGGATAATGAAATTGGTGAGGCAATTATATACAGATGGTTTATTAGTGGACAATAAGGTAGGCACAGAAGTAGGGAAAGGAATATGAAGGGACACAAGATCATTGAAAAAGAAGGAGCGGTCATATTTTAAACAAACAAAGAATATGTGGTTGAGGACACCAACCATACCCATGCCGCAGTCGCATATATTGTTGTTAATGATGCCAATTCTAGTGAGATGATCAAGAGTGCAGACATGTCCAAGACGCATGCGAATTACAATCGAGATTTCTTTCTTACCATACTTGGATTTACGGAACCATGGTTTAATAGGAATGTGTGGTTGAATTGATGCAAAGAATTTACCTTTTTCTCGCGAACTTCGTTCCCAAATATTACACCAGGCACTATAAAGATCATCTTTAGGAAGAGATAAAAGGTCATTGCTATAGTTTTTGTAAGGATGCATGTCCCCACAATACACTGCCTCATTTGCTAACTTATCAGATAGCTCATTTCCAGTAATGCCACAGTGACTTGGAATCCACATGAACTGAACGGAGAAGTTATAAGTTTGACACTTGTAAAGTAGTTTTCTTATTTCATAAATTAATGGAAAATGAAATTTCATTCTGAGGGGGAATTTGCTTAGTGTTTGGAGAGAACTCATAGAATCTGTGAATATGATAGTATTTTTAAGTTTCATAGTAATTATGTATTCCAAGGCCTTCAAAAGACCATAACATTCGCCTGTAAACACTGAAGATTCAGGGGGTAATTCGATTTTTTGAACAATGTTATATTGGGCATGATACACACCTATACCTAGATTACCAGATGGATTATGTTTTGAGGCATCCGTGTAAATATGATGATGGTTATTATATTCAGTATCAATAAGGTATTTGAAATTAAATTTTGTATTTGAATCTTTGTTAATAGAATTTAAAATAATATCTGGACATGAAATCAAGGACTCGTAATTAGCTTCAAAGGGAGGAAGTAAATTAGAACGATGTATAGGGGATTGGAGGTTCAAATATTTTTTGTAGCTAATTATTAAGCATGGAGGACATTTATTAACCCAATAATTGGAAGATTCCATTTTTTCTGTCAGAGATTGCAACCCAAAAAAAATTGGGTGATGAGCTAACTGGATGGAATGAAAAAGATACCTATCAGATAAATATTGGCGTCTAAGATGTAATGGCGATTCGCAGCACTCTACCTGTAAAGCATTGATTGGACTTGACTTCATGGCTCCTGTAACCAATCTTAGAGCTTTTGATTGTATACGGTCAAGCTTTTTTAAAGCGCTACTACTCCCAGGTTCTAATAAAAAAGTACCATAGTCTAATATACTACGTATCAAGGAATTATAAAGTAATTTGAGAGTAAAGGGATGAGCGCCCCACCAGACACCAGCTAAACACCTAAGAATATTTAAAAGACGTTCACATTTATTAACCAAATGTTCACAATGCTGTGCGCCGGTAATTTTGGAGTCTAAGATAATTCCCAGGTATTTAAAGCTGTCTTGAACAGGAATACTATCAACATCATACATGATTTGTATTGGGGGAACCTTACGTTTTCTAGAAAATATCACCACACTACTTTTAGACACTGAAAGGCTTAAGCCATTCTGATCAAGCCATTTCTTTAGACAAGACAAAGCAGATGATACATTGGAGGAAGCTCTTTCTATAGAGCTATCATTAGAGTAGATAAGAAGATCGTCTGCGTATTGAAGAATTTTAACATTATTTTCTAAATCATTCATTAACGGTTTCTAAATCATACGTATAAACATTATATAATAGAGGACTTAAGACAGAACCTTGTGGTAAACCTTTCCAGACAGTTCTGGCCATGTCATTGTCAAAATCAAATATTAATTTCACAGTTCGCTCATTAAGTAAATTAATAATTAAGTTAGAAAATCGGAGGGGAACATCAAGAGCTTCCAATTTAGACTTTAATATCGATAAAATTACATTATCGTACGCGGACTTTATATCAAGGAAAGCAGCGACTACTGATTTATTGGACGTAAAAGCTAATCGAACGTCTATGGTGAATATACTAATATTATCAATAGTACTTTTGCTTTTACGGAACCCATATTGACTGTAAGAAAGAGCCTGTTTATTTTCTAAAAACCATTCCAAACGGGTTTTTATTAAATGTTCAGCCAACTTGACTAAAACAGTAGATAACGCTATAGGACGGTAGTTATCAGCAACATTCGGTGATTTACTAGGTTTCAATACTGGCAATACTCTCTGAGATTTCCATGGTAACGGGACGTTTCCAGTTATCATGAAACTATTTACGATATCTAAATAACCTAAAAGTACTGTATCACTAAGATTTGAAAAGAAACTATATGGAATTCCATCATCACCTGGGCAGGAGTCTCTAACGCTGTTGATAATACCTTTAAGTTCATATAAAGTAAATGGACGTTCTAAGTAATGTGTGGATAACGTTAACGAGGAGGCTCTTAGGGTTAAATTATTTTCCGGGACCCATGGCGGTGCTAATTTATCAAGAAAGTCGTTCGCAAGAGTAGGAGGAAGAGTAGAAAAAGAAGTTTTGTTAAAGGCAGATCTAAAACGTTTAATATTATTCCAGACTATTGAAGGGTGGACATTAGGAGAAATAGAAGTACAGAAACACTTTCAGCCTTCAAATTTCTTATTTTTGAATAACTTTTTTGTTTCTGATTTTAGTTTACATAGTATTTCATAGTTAGTATATGTCATATTTTTACAATAGAGTCTTTCTGCATTTTTCCTTTTTTTAATTGCTTGGGTGCATTCGCTGTCCCACCAAGGTGGAGATGGAATTCTGCTTAAAGTATTTGCCTTAGAAGGAAAAGTTTCAGAGGCAGCTTCTGTTAAAGTGTCAGTCAGAATTTGTGCACAAGCAATATCATTACTACTGTTCACACTTGGTAGTTGATTAATCTTAGCGTCAACTCTATCCTTGAAAGTTTTCCAAGTAGTGTCGTCTCTAATAGAATATTTATATTTTCTCAAACATAACTTTTGGGAGTGCTTTATTTGATGACTTGGAAATCCAATGATTATTGGATAGTGGTCACAACCATATGTATATGTAAGAGTCTCCCAAGACAAAGAAGAGGCTAAGCTTGGAGAAGAAATAGATAAATCTACAATACTTATATTCTGATTTGGATCTGTACATCGTGTTGGGCTACCTGTGTTAAGGAAACATAAATTATGTGTGTCCAGTATGTCCACTAATTCTCTACCAAAAGAGCTACACTGAGAGCTTCCCCAGACAGTATGAAGACAGTTAAAATCTCCTAGAATTAAGATATGCTTAGGAAGGGAAGAGAGCAAGTTGTTTAGATCACTTAAAATGTAAGATGAAGGTTGTGGTATATACACTGATACTAAACAAATATTATTAAAACATAAGTTTTAGTAGCTACTATAGAGATGTCATCACAATGTGGAGGAATAGTTATATTTATATATGGAATTGTGTTCTTAATAAGAATAGCTGTTCCTCCACCGTTTCTGTCTAGTCTGTAATCTCTCACTGTACAATATCCATTAATATTAAAAGATTTATCAGGTTTAAGCC